GTATGCCACACGGCTTCACCCCCGACAGTTAACAGTCCCAAGCAGGAGGGAGCGATGGAACAGCCCAAATGCAGAAAGGAAGGTTGATAAATGCAGAGCTCACACAGAGCTCAGAGAGGAAGAAAAATTCACCCCCTCGTGCCCCTTTTTGAACGAGGGCTACATGGAGAATAATTTGGTACATGCGTTCTATCTAAATGTTTACCTTCCTAACGTAATAAAAATATGATCTAATCTAGATTTATTTGCTTTGCCAATTGACCCTCTTTTTGAATCTCCATCTCTTTGCCATGCAAACATTTACTAAAACCTCCTTTAAAAATGTCTCTGTCAAACTCGCAACCCTTGCTGAGACCCATTAAATATGAATCATTTCCAAATTAAAGTATATGCAGATTGATTCAAGATTAATACATTAAGAGAAATAAAGTCATAAAAGCTCCAGAAGAAAATATATTTGAATGATTGTATTATTTCAGGTTTGAGACAGTCCTGATCAGCCTAAAGTCAAAGGCAGAAATCATGCAAATAAGATAAATGAATGTGATTATTAAAAAGTCTCAGCCATTCATAGTGAGAAACATCGGATACAAGTTAAGAGACAAAGACCAGAGGATAGAGTTGTGTCAAATCAGTAACATAAATTTAAGTCAGAAATACTCTTATCTGCCAATAATATTTCTACTTCCTATCCTACCTCCCACATGGGGGTGGAACAAAATGGAGAAACAAAAATTAATAACAGGAAAAATATTTTAGAAACCTTCAAGTCAATATTTGAACAATGTGAATTAAAACAGTGAACTCTATTTCCCCTCTAGCCTATAAAATCAAGAGGATCCTACTAGTATTAAAACTGGTGTGTGTGGAGAGGGAGAGAGAGAGAGATAGAGAGAGAGAGAGAGAGAGAGAGAGAGAGGATAAAAATGCCTGCCATAGAGGCAGACTGTGAGGGAGGGGAAGTGATGGATGGGAGGGAACCTGGGGATACTGGTTCTGGGAAGTGTACACTAGTGGATAGATGGGTGTTGGAACATCGTATGACTGAAACCTAATCATAAACAGCTTTGTAAGGGTCTATCTCAAAGTGACTCAGTAATAAAATTTTTTATATAAATAAATAAAAATGGTATGGAGAAGGTGAGAACCTTCCCAGTCTCTTGTGGAAGTGCAGATTGATCCAACTCTTCTCAGGGAAAGTAGATCTCTACCGCCTCAAAAGTCACATGCCCTTTTTGAGCCATGGACTTTCAAAACATCCATTCTCAGTAAAATAATTGAACAAGTGTCCAAAGGTTTTTGCAGAGGTAGGATTAGCCCCCAAGACAGAAACCGGAATAAATTCAAAAGCCCCATGGTAGTAGTGACAGGGACAGAAAACAGCCCCATGGGCAGAGACATCCTGTCCTGCTGACCCCAGGAAGCAAGTATCAAGGCGTGGAGAGGCCCCGAGCCCCCTGTCTTCAGCACAGATACTGCCCACGGGGTCGCCAGAGTCTTCCAGGGAGCTGGAGCCCCAACTCCTTTACCCACAATAAAGTCAGGGAGCCAACAGTGAAATTTATAGACCTCATCTAGAGGCTCAGGACAATCTCTCCCCTCACCTTCTCCACCCTAAGACCACCATGAGTTACTAGTTGGCCATAAAATGGTAGAAAAGGGTGGACACCCCCTTCCATGGAAAGGGGCTGAGTTTTCCAAAAAAGACCACCTACCACCCACCCCCATTTTCATTTTTTTTTGCCCTTTTGTTAGAGAATGCAGCAAGAGCTCACACCCTACGGTCTCCCCCAGTCGTCTGGCCCTGACTGTCTGCTCCTGTTTCTCTGCCTTCTCTTCTTCTTTCAGTAAACTCACTCAGAGTTCACAGGTGACTGGAGTTTCTGTAAACGCTTCTGGTTTTGACCCCAAGAGTCTGCTCTTGTCCCAACAGTAGGAAGGAGAACTAAAGTACAGGACATCCACACAACGGGACAGTAGGGGATGTCCAGCAAAATGTTCTAGTGGTAGTGCCCAAGGGATAGTGCAGTGGGTAGGGTGTTTGCCTTGCATGTGACTGACGTAGGTTTGATTCCCAATATCCCATGTGTTCCTTTGAACCCCTCCAGCAGTGATTTCTGAGTGCAGAACCAGGAGTAACCCCAGAGCACCTTCAGGTGTGCCCCTACTCCCAAAAGAAAGATGTTCCATGGGACATTTATTGCTTACAGGTGCTGTGATATATCATGTGCAGAGAGCAAATTTTAAAACAATGTGTATTTCATGGTCCTATTTCTTCCTTAAGATTTTTTACACATATGTGTGTTCATATATAAAAGTAGAAAAGGCCATTTGCTTAAAGTAAATGTCGTTCCGAGTAGCTTTACTCTTTCCCTTTTTGCTTATCCGAATGTTTATGGCTTCCACTATGAAAAGCTATTATAATTGCAAATCAAAATCAAAAACTATTACAATTGTAATTTGTAAGAAAGGATAGGAAGATAACTAAAAGTGAAAAAAATTTAATTTCAGCCTATTTTTATAAGACATAATTGTCTTAATTAACTATTGATGAACATTTAAGTAGTTAGGTATTTATTTAACAAAAGACTCTTTGGAAAGCCTATGTTGCGAGAACAAAAGCCAAAGTCCCCAAATAATAGCAGCCAAATTGAAATTTTTGACACACAAAGAGTGACTAATGGATTGAAATTCTTCCAAATCATAGCCAAGGCCCAGATTCTCAGAGGTATGTGTGAAGTCGGGCTGATGAACAGATTGCTAAATGGGGCATCTTTCAAATCATTTTTAATAACTCCCCCATCGATCCAAAGGCTAAGGACTCCCCCAATCAGCCCTCAATTCCAGTGTTTTATTTTTCATAAATTACCTCTGGAAAGTCACCTTTCGGGGCTGTGACAAGAAAGTGAGGGAGCAGCAAGTTTCCACTCTAACAGGAGTGTGTTAACCACATGAAGGCCAGGACTCTCCGGGAAAGGGCATGCGTTCATATCTGGGACTTCAACCCACCGACCTGTCTGAGTGTCCATCCACTGGGTTGTACCCTTTCCTCAAGAGTGAAGAGTAAGTGATGGGTTAGTCCCCATTTGCAACCAACCAATCTCACTCACCTCCCAGCAGTTGTACTGACGACTCTGTTTCAAAGACGTCCAGACCTGGATCTCAGCTACATGTGCATATAAGAGACCCCTAACCCCAGCAACATGTGCATCTGAGGGACACCTGTCCTCAGAATTCTGCTATGTGTGGGTTATGACCACAGAACTGAGTTTAAGCCAGAAGCTAAAGATTAAGGTGACTCTAGTACAGCTCCACCACTTGGGTTCTGTGAGTTCTTGAACAAGTTTCTTTACCTCTCTGAAGCTCAGCTTCCTCTTCTGTATGACGGGTACATGTGCTACCTTGCCAGAATGCTCTGGGAACTGGGAAAATTATCTGTATAAGGGTCATTAGCCCCCAAGAACAAATAGATCATATAGAACTCTATAGCCCCCCATGAAACAGGAAATTTTGTTTTAGTAGTAGTACATTTTCTCTATAAATCACAGTCAAATTTTTTAAATAAATTGAACTGTTAATTTTATTTAATTTCCTGAGCTGTGGAGCGATAGCACAGCGGGTAGGGCGTTTGCCTTGCACACGGCCGACCTGGCCGACCCAGGTTCGATTTCTCCACCCCTCTCGGAGAGGCCGGCAAGCTACCTAGAGTATCTCGCCCGCACAGCAAAGCCTGGCAAGTTACCCGTGACGTATTCGATATGCCAAACACAGGAACAACAAGTCTCACAATGGAGACGTTGCTGGGCCCGCTAGAGCAAATCAATGAACAACGGGAGGACAGTGCTACAGAGTAGTGCTAATTTCCTGAAAAGCTTTTACTCTAAGATACAGACATGTATCGGAACCAGGTGTTCCTTTCATATCCGCTGGTTATTTTGGTGGGGAGGTGGGGCCTGGGGAATGTTCAGGAACGTCCCACCCTGGCAGATGTGGTGCTGGGAAGAAAACAAGGACTGGACAAGACAAACACCTTAGCCCCTGTACCTTTTCTCCAGGCATGTCAGCTGTTTGAGACAAATTACAACTTAGGTTATTACAGACACAACTAGAGCCCCCTGGGGTATAGTGCCCCAGTGACTCCTTCCATGAAATTTGTCAGGAATATTTGTAAAATTTTCATGCTCTGTCTAACTGTAACTTACGGAGAACATTGCCATCATCTTGGTCTTTGCAGGCTATGCCTGACAATAACGTTCAGACCGAGACAGTGGAACGGAGCCTGGCCTAGTAAGAGCTGACTTGGGGGGAGGGGGGTGATCAATCCCTAGCCCAGCTCCCAGACACTGAGCCCCAGGACCCCTTAATGTGAACTTCAAAGCACAGCCTTGCTCCAGACAAGAACCGGGGCTTGCAATCACATTTCAAATGGATTTATGCCTTCCTCCTAATTGACTTGTTAACTATGCTAATGTATTCATGCCTTTTCAAAGGCCTCTCAGCAGATAATGCCCCGGTACTGAATGCTGTGAGATTAAAGAATGAAGAACCCGAGAAATTCCTATAAACTTCTTTTCTATAGGCAAGCAGATTAGACTTCCAAAACAGCTTATGTGAGTTTGCCTATCTCCAAACATTTTATTTCTATCACCAAAATTGCTTCTCAGAAAATGGCCTCTTTTAATTAGGCATTAGAGCTTGCGGGGGCGGGGCAGGGCTTCAACTTTGTTTAGGCCTGATGGGGAAGTGTCCGTGCTTGGCTGCCTCTTATCCTGCTCTCGTTCAAGGCCCGAGGCCTGTGGTCCAGCGAGATAAGACACTTGCTTTGCATGTGACTGACCCCAGCATCCCTGGTTTCCTGAGCCCCACCAGGAGTGACCACTGAGCCCAGAATTAGAAGTACCCAAACCCCACCAGGTGTGGTCCAGACAACAGAAAAGAAAAAAAAAACATTAGCAGGCCTGATGACAGAGGCTCTGAGACCCCATGTTCTCTCGTTCCAGGTGGCGCTGGCGGCCAGCAGGGCTTTCTGGGCTGCATCCGCTCCCTGCGTATGAATGGGGTCACGCTGGACCTGGAGGAGAGGGCCAAGGTCACGTCCGGCTTCAAGTCCGGCTGCTCGGGTCACTGCACCAGCTACGGGGCCAACTGTGAGAATGGAGGCAAATGCATCGAGAAATACCACGGTTATTCCTGCGACTGCTCCCACACGGCTTACGATGGGACGTTTTGCAACAAAGGTAAGGCCGTGGGTTCCAGCCGGGCCAGGCCCACGTCATCATATTAGCGACTCGTGCACATGCTTATGGTGTTCTGGAGGAGGGGAATTCCATGTTCAGAATTCTCCTAGCTAGGAGGGGAAGCTCCCACACCTTGCCCAAAGGTGAGCCGTTGATGGAGACAAGAGAATGGGGTGCGGGTGGTGGAGGGCTTCCCCCGTACATGTGGCTACGTTCTGCAGGGCTTGGAGGAGCATGTCCTTCCTCAGGGGTGAGTGCTCAAGGTACTGGCCTCTGAAGAGAACCCTCGCTGGTCCTCTCTCTTCACGGGAGCCACAGGGGTGAACCCCACTATACCCAACGGACAGAGTGGGACATACGTTGGCTCTGGTTGCCAGGGATCTCACTGTCCATCACGGCTGTTGGACTCTCTCTGGACTCCCAAAGTGTGTCGTTGGGGCCGGAGAGATAGTCCAGGGCTTCAGGCCTTAGTCAACCCAGCTTCAGTAGCCAGAATTCAGATAGTCCCTTGAGCATCCTTTGGAGACAACCAAGTGCTTCTGGGTATGGCCCAGGTGGTCTCTGGCACTGTGAGGCCTGAGCACTGTATGACCCCAGACTTCCAGACCACTGCTTGGGAGAACGGCCCCCAAATAAAAGAAAGACCTTTGGCCATTTATGATCATGATATTCTTAGCGTTATTCTCATACAGGCTGTCTCCGTGAATGCACCCCAGCCTCAGCTAGCTGCAGGAATCTCAAGCTAGGCTGTCTGCACCCCCTTTCAATCTTGGGGGGTGGGGATCCCTTTCATCCCTTATACACTGTGCAGAGCCAATTGGCAAACGGACAAGCACCCAGCAGGTGTGCATGTGAGGACTGGGCCAGGGATTCTGCAGGAGAAGTAATTCACTCAGTGGGGCTGGATTTTTGCCGTATAAACAAGAAGGATGGAGAGGCTGAACTGGCCCTTTTCCTAAGCTACAGTTGCAATCCACTTAAATCACTCTTCTCTTTCTAAATAAATGTGTCGCCTTTGGATAAAGTTTCCTGTAAATGGTTGGGGCATCTCTTAATAAGAAGCTTTCCATAAGTAGCCTATTCATACTCTTCTGAATACAGGGAGAGTTGTTTGTGCTGGCATTATTCACACAAGATGCCACACAGAAGGAGGAATTGTTCCATAACATTCCCTGTACATCCAGGCTGCTGTCTGGCAGCACTGTAATATGAGCATACAAATTAGGTCAGGCAGGGTTTGAAGAACGAGCCTGAGATGACAACAAAGGAGAAAGCCCTAGCATGGCTGGATGATACCAGCACACGTTCACAGTGCAATTACAGCACTTTTTCTGCTCAGAACAACATGACTCCGTGGCTTCCCCGCACCACACAATGGGACGGGTGTGCAGGACACATTAATTTTGTGCTTGTAGAAATGACAGTCTCGCAATGGCCTTCATTGTGCTTGATGCTAAATTAATGCAGTCATTCCCTTGCCAAAGGGATGTCTGACTGCAATCAAAGTGAGCACGAATGCCTGAGAGATTCCCCCACATAAGGACCAATTCAAAGAAAAGCATGAGTCCCGTATTTGGGGTAAGTTAGGTTAACCACTGTAACGCCTACCGAACCTCTGGGGTTAATTGGCAGTTGTCACAAATAGAAAAGCAAGAGGAGGTGCCCATCGGCTTAGCCTGTGTTTGAGATTAAGATAAATGAAGTGGGTGTTGCCTTTGACTTTGTGCCAAAGGGATTACCCAAAAGGCACTAAAATGTGCTCTTAATATCTGTGTGGCTGGATGAGTTACCATGTGACTCCATTTCTAACTGAAAAAATACTAAAATTCAAAACTGAATGTATCCGAAAGGCATCAGTGGGCATCTTCTGAGTCCGGAGAAGAACCATCCTGTCTCAGAGAGGATCCGTGAGTGCTTCTGATGGGCAGGCAGGGGAGGAAGCAGGCAGCCACTGTGGAAAGTTCTCCTGCAAGGTCTGGCTTAGCAAAGGGGCTGTCCTTCTTAGACATTCACCAGAACTCTGAGTCCTGTAGCACATCTCCCTGGTGGTCTTGTATGTCTAGGTCATGTGACCAGCTCCTCAAAGTCTGGTCGAGAAAGAGTAATTCCTTTCACCTTGATAGAAGACACTTGCACTGTGATATGGAAAATTGCTTCCAGCATATTGAACAATTGGGATGGAGTGATAGCTCAGTGTGTAGGGTGTTTTTTGCCTTGCATGCGGCCAAACCAGGTTCAATTCCTCTGTCCCTCTTGGAGAGCCCGACAAGCTAGAGAATATCCTGCCTGCTCCCCAATATTTTCCCCAATATTTGATATGCCAAAAACAGCAACAAGTCTCACAAGGGAGATGTTACTGGTGCCCGTTTGAGCACATCGATGAACAACAGGAGGACAGTGCTACAGTCCTACAGATATTGAAAAATGAGCTCTTCCCCAGTCTTATGGACATGGGACATTCCCTCCACCAGGCCCTCAAATACAGGACCCTCCCTCATAGACCCTAATGCTGCTACTGCTTACATCATCAAGGTCATCAAGAAGCCCCGGTCCCCTTCCTCCCCATTGCTCCCTACACCACCAGCTCTTCCTGGTCCTGTGGATGGGAGAAGCCCCAGCCACTATTAATTAATCCAAACAACCTTGCCTTCAACTCCACTAACTGTAGGGGCTTGTAGGTTCTGATATCTGATGTCTTTCTTCAAATCCTCCAATAATAATCACCCTGGTATGTAAACAGGCAGTTAAATGCTCTACCCCTGAGCTATACCCCTGGGTTGGAGCGATAGCACAGTGGGTAGGGTGTTTACCTTGCATGTGGTCGACCTGGACAACCCAGGTTCAGTTTCTCCGCCCCTCTCAGAGAGCCCAGCAAGCGACCAAGTGTATCTCACCCGCACGGCAAAGCCTGGCCAGCTACCTGTGATGTATTCGATATGCCAAACACAGTAACAAGTGTCACAATGGAGATGTTACTGGGCCCACTCGAGCAAATCGATGAACAACTGGAGAACAGTGACAGTAAGGTCCCCCATCTTCCAGTATGTAGGCATAACACCCACCAACTGCCCACTCCCCCACCCCACCCCACCCCCAGCGCCGTGTAATCCCATCAACAGCCAAGACCCAGAGACTATAAAACCCTGCTCCCGGAATCTTATTATCTAGTTCTTACACTGGAGAACCTGGCAGGCTACCAAAAGTATCCTGCCCACAAGGCAGAGTCTAGCAAACTCCTCGTGGCGTTCCCAATATGCCAAAAACCAGTAACAATGATGGGTCTCATTCTCCTGACCCTGAAAGAGCCTCGAATGTGGCACTTTTTAAAATCTCAGGGCTAGGATGAAGGAGACGTTACTGGGGCCTGCTCGAGGCAATAGATAAACCACAATGATATCATATCTAAATTCTTCTGGTTTCCCCTTTGGGAGAAGGAGGGTATTAAAAATCAGGGTTCTTGGCCCAGACATTAAAAAAGTATTTCTCAAAGTGGGCGATACAGACTTCCAATGGGTATGGTCCATTCAGTAGGATGGACACTGGAACCATCCAGAGGGTCAGTATTTGTGTTGGTTACAATTGGCGAACATTTCCTATTTGATAAAGAAGGTGCATATCCAGGAAGATGATCAGTGCGTGATTATGCTAAAGAGGGGATGATAGGCCAAAGATGTTTGGGAATCTCTGCATTCGCAGGTCAGCTGTCTCTGCAGGAAATATCTAATTATTCTTGAGAAATCATCAGAGCATTGAATCATACTGTTTAGAACGGAGCAGCATTGCAGGAGAAATCTTCAGATAATTAGATAATCCTTGAAAATCCATCTCTTGAGATCTTTAAGTGAGCACAGCTTCGCACAAGCCCTCGAAGTGGTTGGCCTAAGAAGGAGCACTGTGGGGAGGATTGCCTTGTTGGAGCCAAATTGAATGAAAATAAAACCTGAGATTCTAGTATCAAACTCAGTCATGTGAGTGACTCAAGCAGACATGGACCTCTCAGAGTCGGGGTCAGGGAGCAGGGCAGGGCAGGGGATGAGATTATCCAGAAGAGTAGGGGCAAATCGTTCACATAATCCTTTCTCCTTCTCTTCTTCCTCCTCCTCCTCCCTCTCTCCCTCCGCCTCCCCCTCTTTCTCCTCCTCCTCCTTCTCTTCCTCCTCCTACTACTACTCAATCTCATCCTCCTCTTCCTCTTCCTCCTCTTCCTCCTCCTTCTTCCCTCTCTTTCTCTTGCCATCCTAACTTCCTCTCTCTCCTTTGTGTCTCTCCTCCCTTTTTCTCCATCTCTCCTCCCTCTTCTCTCCCCACCACGGAGAACAATCTTTACCTCTTTCCCTGTCCGCCTTTTTCTCTCCACATCCTGACCTACTTTTCCTGTGTCCTTCCTTTTCATGGAAATATGTGGTTCAATAGTAAATCAGTGTCACGTGCTTCCAGTGCTCGATTCCATGGTGCTTTCCAAATGTCTTGTCATGTCGATGATGTGCTTACAGTGACTGTTCCTATCAGCAGTACGTGTGTGTGTGTGTGTTGCATGTAGGTTTCATATACAAATGAGACTTCCCTCTGTCTTCCTCTTAGCTCCTATCAAAAATAGTCCCATCATTCCGGTCTATAAACTGTTCTCAGCATTTTAAAAGATCGATCTGTAAAGATTTGATCTCTGGTTAAAGCATGAGCTCTCCCAGGATTACTTGCCAATCAAGTAGGAGTGCTGACTGGAGCAAATTCTAGAGAAACTCCATAGCTGACTGTACAGCCTGTCGTAACATCTGTCCACAGATGACTGTGTAGCTTGCAGCTCCCCATACGCTAAGGAAGACCACGAAGTAGCAGCTATTGTGGGCAACAGAGACAGTTCCACTCAAGGCCAGAATTCCTGGGCAATCCAGTGGCTGAATCCATGGGTATCTGTTGGAGAAACTCAGCACCACAGCCCATAGGGAAGGCTAGTATGGGTCTGCCATACTTGGATTGGGTGGGGACCTATACTAGAGAGC